AAATTTCATGAATAGTTTTTGAAAAAGTTTGAAACAAGATAAACAAGATCATTTAGGTAAATAAACAAAATCATTTTGTGTTACATATTTAGTCTATTAAATAGAATATTACGTTTTTCATCGAAAATTTACAAAAAGCTTTTCATAATATTCCATAAAAATTAACGAAATCTTTTGATGTAAAAAAATTTCAAAAATTTCTGCAAAAATTTTTGCAAAATTTTACATTAAAAAATTTCGAAGATTTACGAAAATTTATGGAAATTTCTGCAAAAATTTATGGAAATTTTACATCCCGAAAACTTATGGAGTTATCTGCCCTTAAAAATTTCCTGATGAAGATCATTTTATATTACATATTTAGTCTATTAAATGGAATATTATATTTTTTGTGATATTTTGTACAATAAAAATTTATGTAAAATTTACAGAAATTTTACATCCCGTCACATCTGCAAACGTTTTATCACTGAATTTTTTGTTTAAGGAAGAATAAAAGTGAAAATTTTGTTTTTTATATAATGAATCAAATTTATTTAATCACTTGATATTTACTTGTTTAAATTTTTCATCTTCTATTGAACAAGGCATTCTTTTGCTATATGCTCAGTCAAGTGACATTAGTAACAAGCTAACATTTTGATATCAACAATTGTGATTTCATACTTTCCTACTGTTCACATTTTTCCAATTGCTTATTCTTTGACTTCCTTACTTACGAAAGATAGTATTGCTATTGGTTTTTTCCTATAGTTTCTAGTTCTAAGTATATAGCATGTTAATACATCTATGTTTTTAATATTTGAAATAATATCTCTAGCAGTAACACTGATCGACAAATTGACCATTCATGATGCGTGTATATCACAATTCATTAGATTATCATAGCTACAATCTACAGATGTGACATGAAAAGAGTTTTCCCCAATTAAAATACTCCATTGACCTAATATTTCTTTTGCAATTTTTTTCTTCTTTAAATATTATAATGGTCCATTGCCACATTCCAATTGGGCAGAGTGTTAAATGTTCTACTTCCCCAAATTGGAGAGTTAAATCAGTTTTTAATACACTGTATTTAATTCCATGAGGAATGTCCCACAATTTAATTTCACATTTTTCTTTTGTTACAGAATTCCTTCTATAGATTTGTGCTTTATGCAGGTAAATGGGCTTATCTGCATTTTCACCTACATTCAATTTTTGAGCTGCTTACATTTGTTCTTTGTCATTGAAAATAACTGAGATCATTTTATCTTTTCCATTGAATTCTGGCATAACTGAAATGAATTTTGTTTTATTATTATAAAAAAATTTTTCACATATTCAATTTTTTCATAAGATTTTTACCAAGGATTTTACTAGCGAAAGTTCATGCTTTATATTTTTATACATTGAAGTCTTGTTTCCAATCTGCTTGATAGCTATTTTCTGTTTTATATAATTTAATAGAGTCTCTATTATCCTTGATGATTAGGTTCAAGATTTCAGTTTGTTTTTTACTTTTATTTTTATTTTTTGATAACATAAGTTCAGTTACTCTTGTCAAGGTTTCCTTCTGTTAGATTATTTTCTAAGACTGGTTCGATGGTTGAGGTGTCAAGTTGAGTTTCATCTGCTTTTTCCTTTCCCTTTACTATTAGTTCTATTGGTATTATCAATTTCAGTTATAGTTTGGATATCCTTAGCATCATTAGTTTCATTAGTAGTATTTTCTATTTCTTGCATATGTTCTATTTCTTCAGTAGTTTCTATATTAATGGTAGTTTTTCTTTATTTTGTTTTTTTTCAAAATGTTTTCTTTCCATTAAAAGAGGTTACTTGTATGTTGCTTTCTAAGTATCTGTTTAATTATTGTAAAATAGTTTGTTGTGGTCCTCCTAAGACAACCACTACCTGAGCCTTCACTCATATTTAATAATTTCAAAAGAAAAATTTAAAAACTTTTTCACTTATTTTACTGTGTATTTTTAATAAAATGAATTTAAGCAGAAAGAGTTTTTTTTATAAGAATTTAATTAAAAATATAATTTTATAATATTACATGTAAAGATGGTATCCTCAATAATTTTTTCAAATCCTCAATATTACAGATTTTTTAGATGGAATTGTAATAAAAATCTGTATATCCTCAATTGTTCTGCAATTCCTCAATTGTTCTGCAATTTCTCAATCATTTTATAATTTCTCAATCATTTCATAAATTTGCATAACTTAATAATCAAACCTATATTTTTTTATTTTTTAAAACAATAAAAAAACCTATATTTATCTTGTCTTTGCTTTTATCTTTCTTTGCTGACTTGTAGAAATACCTGTGGAGGTTGAAATCATAAAAATTATGCATGGTTAAAAGTGAGTTTTTTTTTTCTTTTTTCTTTTTTTTTTAAAAAAATAAAACCTTATACTTACCTTGTCCTTGCTTTTACTTTTCTTCTCCCCAACTTTCGAGCTGTGAAAGTTGAAATTGTTAAAATTAGCTTCACGAACATACAATTAAAGGTGAGTTTTTTTTCTTTTCTTTTTTTTTTAAAAAAAATAAAACCTTATATTTACCTTGTCCTTGCTTTTACCTTTCTTCTTCCCAACTTTCACTGGTTCGTCGGAACACCTGTGGAAATTGAAATCATCAAAATCAACTTCACAAACTTATAATTAAAGGTGAGTTTTTTTTTTATTAAAATCTTATACTTACCTTGTCCTTTCCTTTACCTTTCTTCTCTTCACCTTTTACTGGTTCATGGAACACCTGTAAAAGTCAAAATCATTGGAAACAACTTCGCGAACATATAATTAAAGGTTTTTTTTTTAAAAAAATAAAACCTTTATACTTACCTTTCTTCCTCACCTTTCACTGGTTCGTGAGAACACCTGTGAAAGTCAAAATCATTGAAATCAGTTTCACAGATGTACGATTAAAAGTATTTTCTTTCTCCCCCTCTCTTCCCTTTCTTTTTTTCTTTCTTTCCTTTCTCTCTCTCTCTTCCCTTTCTCTCTCTTTCTCTTCCCTTTCTCTCTCTTTTTCTTCCCTTTCTCTCTCTCTCTTTCCTTTTTTTCTTTCTCTCTTCCCTTTCTCTACCTATCTTTGAGTTGTACCCTTGTGGAATAATTGCAGACTTGCAGAATAATTACAGACTTGTGATATAATTGAGGAATTACAGAATAATTACAGAATTGCAAAATAATTGAGGAATTGAGGAATAATTGAGAAATTGCAAAATGATTGAAGAATTGTGAAATAATTGATAATTGCAAATTGCGGAATTGCAGATTTTTAATTATATGTATATTATATAGATAATAATTTAAGATTTTTTATAAGCAATTATTTTCTATTTAATAATTAATAGGAAAATATATCATGATATATTTTGAAAGTATATAATGAAACATGATATCAAATCATGAAAAAATTTGAAATAAATGTATAAAAAAAAAATAATGATTGCTTTCATGAAGATATATATTATTTCATATAAAATTAAATATAATAATAATGATATGTTTCAAAAAAAATATTGTAATATATGTAATATAATGAATATGTAGTAATAATATATTTTTATTTGGAAATAAAGATGTTTGTATAATTTGTTGTAATAGAAAAGCAAAGAAGTAATATATAAAGAATTGAAATTCTTCTTACTTTTATTTTAAAATATTTCAAAAATTGAAATATTTTCAAATATTAAAAATAATAAAATTCTTAAAATAATTCTTAGAATAAATAAATGTCTCAATCAAATCTTAGTTGTTTCTATTAAAAAAAATAAAAAGAATTACTTTTCAGAATAATTTCTGGATGTTCAAAATATATAAAAACAAAAAAAAATTCTTTAGAAGTATCTGCTAATTTTAAAAAAAATTCAAGATTAGTACCAGAGTTCAAAATAAATGAACAAAGGGTAGAATTACCAAGGTTTAAAGTAATTGAACCAGTAATAGTAATTGAAACAGGAGCAGAATTGCTGGTAGCAACAGTACCAAGATTTGAAATAATTGAATTAGCAGCAACATCACCAGTAGCAATATTATCAGTAACAGTAGTAAAAGTAGAAACAACAATATCAAGATCTACAAGTAAAAGGAGAAGAACTAAAGTAGGAAGTATAAGACAATATTCTGATGATAATATTCAATAAAATATCAAATTTATTTTAAATGACACTCTGATAACTCATAAACAAGCATTTCATATTATAGGATATTAAGATAAAATTAACATAGACAAATAAAAATAGAAAAAAATATTTTGGACGTCTGAAGAATATTAGATGAAAGTAAAATGTAGGTGAAATGTGATGAAATTTATAATGAGAGTTTTATCAAAGTAAATATTTTATTTATTATTTTTTTGTAATATCAATAACTTTTTTACTGATTTGAAATATTTCAAAAAAAAAAAATTAATTAAAGAGAAGATTTACCTCAACTTTATAATATTAAAAGCTGCAGCTGTTCATTACTGTGATAAAAATTATTCAGAGATTTTTAAAAATTGGTTAGAAAAAAAATGACACTTTATTATAATTCAAAAATTTAAACAGAAGTATATTTTTTTTTTAATATTTGAAAAAAAGTTTTAAAATTTACTTAAAAATTTTTGAAAATATTTCAGTTATTAAAAAGTCATTAGGACCAAAGAGGTCACTATCTTCCTACATCAGAATCGTAATATTTCAAGTTTATCAAGTAAAAACTTTCCATATATAAATTTGAAGGTTGCACCTAATAAAATAAAAAGTAGAAGGAATCATCTATAATTAAAGAATGTTACAATTTATTACATTCAAAAATAATAATAATGATGATACAATCTGGTGTAGAAGAATTCTTAACAGACTTTAAGTGAATCTTTTTAAAGCTCCTTTAGAACAAATCACTTTTGCCATTTCTTTATGTGAATTTTTTTTGAATTTTAAAAATAAGAATATTAAAAAAGATAATAAATAGAAAATAGTCTATTTTTTCTTGAAAATTTAATATCTTTTATTTTATAGGAAAATATGAAAAATGGTAAAACATTCAGCTTAGAAACTTTTGCATCAGTAATTATATTAATTTGAAAACCTTCAAAAATTTATTGGTTAATTTTGATATGTATTATTTCGTTATTGAAAACCTTCAAAGTTCAATGCTAAATTTTTTAATGATAATGTAAACTTTCAAAATTCAACAGCTATTATTTTAACGTATTTTGTTTCAGGTTTATCATTTTCAGATTATTTCAAATTTAATTGTTTTCATTATAATTTAATATATATTGTAGAAAATTTTATTTTGTAATATTTTATTACTTTCTGAATTTTTACATAATTTATTATTTAAAAGATAATTATAAATATTTTATAACATTTTTTTCTATTTTTCTATACATTTTCATATGATGATGCAATAATATAGGATAACTATTTTCTATATAATTCTTAAATATGATATATATTTCTATTTTCTGTAATATTATAATACTTAATACTTCTTTTCATTTTATTTACCTTTTTGAGATTTTTCAAATTTTTTTCAAATTTCTTATAAATTTTCTATTATAATAATTAAAGTTAATATTATTAATTTGAATTTTC